AAGAACTGGAACCAAATAAAAGACACAAAAGTCTTGAAGAAACATTTAAATAAGTTTGGGCGCATGATATTTTTCTGTTATTTAACTATTTTCTGTATTTCAATATTGATGCTGAAAAACCCTCCAGAAATGCTCAATGAAGTCTGTGTATGTATATGTCATCTCTGTACACAACTCATGATCACATCCTTGGAATTTCAATAAGTAATTGTGAAGGAGAAACTTCAAAGAGCATTTTGAGAAGGTAGCTGAATACTTAAATAGAGAAAGGTCATTCCTCAACCCTCACCCAAAACAAAAGCCCCTGAGAAATAATCAACTGCTTTACTTCACAATATCCTTCAAAAAAACACAATCTCTTACAAACCAGTCCTACAAATGTTCATCAAAACTATCAAAATAGCAGACTGCACAGTTTCTTTAGGAGGTAAAATGTTCTTTCAATATCCATTTATCACCTTTTACTAAGCTGTCAAAACTGGAAGGATTGCTTGGCACAAAGATATTATTATGCAAACAAGTTGAGGCTGATTTGGGTTCAGAGTACTTCTTTCATATTGTGTATCAAGACTTATTCCTTGATATCTATCCGCTAAAAAAGTACTCCAACTAAATCCGCAACAAATATAATTCATCTCATTCCGACAAAACCCGTTGAGTGAATTATCACTGAGATTGTTTCAAAGGGGTTTTTAACAAAAAAGGAACATTTCAGTGTTCAAGATACTACATTCCAAATCATGTTGTCTGCATTGAACACTCACGGAATCGTTTTGTTTATTGTCATAACCTTGAAACGACGGAAATAAAGATGGTTGTCACTTATAATTTAAAGATGTCTAGGCAAAATGCAAATTATCATTTTTTGAAAGGACTAATCACCAGAGGAAGGAAGACTTTCGTAAGCTCAAGTACTAAACCGAAGATGCGAATGATGGGCAAAAAACATCACCAGAAACATGGCCAGATCTATCTCTAACTACATAGTAGGTAATGGTTCAGTAGTGAAAACAAAGGGCTGTGAAATATTTATCCACCCAAGCAAGGCATTTCAACCGTCATTAAAACAATCCAATCTAGAGACATATTTTCTAACCAATTTGCGGCAGCAGCTAACTCCTTTGCATTCCAACTTGTTATCATCTCTTTAGAATTTGTCATACGTCTAGAAAAGGGAAAGAAAGTCCGTTTTTCTCCGTGACTTAGAAGAAATGTCTCACGTACTAAACGTCACAATCGAGTAATTATGAAAATGACTCACACGCGTGCTACGATGCATTATGGGTAAAATTACCCCAGAGGGTACAACAATAATTGAGGCAATTACAGAGGACCAATCCGCCATCTTTGATTGCGGTAGTGGAAGAGAAAAGAGGACCCGGCTTGTGATTGTACTTCTTTTTACATACACAATCTTTGCTATTTGGGAAAGGTTAGTAAAATTTATCGGTCGTGAATTAATTAAGAAGCATTTTGTCAGTTGTGTAGTCGTATGATCAAGTTTCTAGAGGTTCTATGGAGCGTTGTTTGTTTGAGGTTGTAAATTGCTTGATTGCATGACTGCAATATTTTACAGTATCGCAAAAATATAACTGAAAACATTTAAATAAAATAGTACCTATAGTACTTAAGTATTACACTTATCGAACCTTAATTCACATCACTTTCATTTGATTAAAACAATGTCTCACGAAGTTTCGATGACGCTTGTAATGTTAACTCCACACCAGTCATGCCAGTTAATATTGGGAAAGGCATGGTAACTCTTCAAAATATACTAATTGAAATAAAATGATTTTCTTTCTAGTTAAATTATTCATACATCTCGGTTTAATCTATCGATAAGGTTATTAGGAAAAGCAGTTGAATGTCATGGTGAAAACAAGGTGGAAGAGTTAGCGTGACTTGACAGTATTGGATGTCATTATGTTAATAATCTTAGTAAGCTTTGGATAAGTGTCATACTAGTTAAAGACATTGTTGAACCTTCTCTTACATGTCAAGTCACCAGTGGGTCAAGTTTATATTGTAGTTGAGCACAGGTATTTTAACCCTAAAACTCCTAAGATCTGATTTTAGCTGCTACACATTGCCATTTAAATTGGTTACAAGAATTTGGTGTTAGATCAAGACAACTTCTATTGTACAAGTTTAAATATTCTCAGTACCTGTTTGTTGGATAATGTATGGTTATTATAGGGAGAAGTGACATTTTAATCACTTCTAGGAGTTGAAGGGTTAATAAAAAGGATGGCAGGGGAAGTTTGTATCAAGGAAAGCCTCCTCAAATTCAGTTATTACTGAAGTGTCAGCTTAGACTTTCAAAGGTTAAACATAGTAAAAGACAACTATGTCCTAGCTATGGGAATACCACAATTAACAACCCTTTGTTAGTCTTTGTTGGCTCAATTTTATATATTTGATACACTGGGAACGTGTAGCCACTTAGTTAATGGCCTGTTAGTTAAACTCAAGGCTATTTTTACATGACCTTGTGAGTTCTCTCTACCTGATAATGGCTAAGAAGGCATCCATTTGGACATTTACCTTTTTCTGTATGAGATGCTTAAGTTTTATGGTAAGACAGGGCGTAACATTTGGTATACTGAGGTCCTGTTGGAAAATTTCCTGTTGCGGTGCTTCTCCTTCATCCAGGACTGCCTGTGAATTATGCAGGAAAACCTAACAAGATGCTTGTTAGGGAAGGAGGAATAGCTTATGCAGATTTTGTATGCATTCCGGGAGAGAATAAATGTTTCTAGTTGCTTTGTACTATCTAAGACAAGCTTCAGTGGTGTGAACAACTGGGCACTGCAATATTCATGTATGTTAGAGAGCAGATATTCCTATACTTCTCCTATGTTGCCATCATTTCATGATTCATATCACTTACAAATATTACTTTGTGCAGAAAGCAGCTTTTTGTTAAAAATTATTCTGACAGTGTGTTAGAAAATGCATGTCGATAGTGCATTTAGTAGGATTTTTAAATGAGTGTGGTATTGCAAATGACGTAAATCTCTTTTTAATTGAAAAGTGCTGTCTGTTTAACGTATATCACTATAGCCTTGTCACTTTTTCCAAGCAAAATTTTAACTTCAATCTTGAACTGAAACTTATTTGTAGGGTACAGCTTAGATGATGGCAGAAAATGTTGAACAACACTTTGACCCTAAGACTTTTAAATTGGAGACAGCTCCCTTTGATGCAAGATTCCCTTACACCAACCAGACAAAGAACTGCTGGCAGAACTATGTGGACTTTCATCGATGCATAAAGAAGTTTGGAGAGGAAGAAAGCAGATGTCAGTATTTTTTCAGGACTTACAAATCCTTATGCCCTGGTCCCTGGGTAAGTTAGGAAGCTCAAGTTATTGAATTGAAGTTGTTGCCTTTTCAAGACTTTTAATAACAAGCATGCATTGCAATCAATGATGATAGATTATTGGACCATGCTTCACAGGTGTAGGTTGTGCATCTACTGCTATACATGCTCATCAAATGTGTGTAATTTGTTCTAATTCCATTTGCATGCCTAACTGAACCATGTACAGGTACCATGCTTTTTACTTGTTGGTTCATCAAGCTGAATTTAAACCAGGGTTCATATGGGTCCTGGAAAGTCTTGGAATTCATTTTGACATTTTCCTGGATGGAAAAGTCATGGAAAAAGACTACAGGTCCTGGAAAGTCCTGGAAATCTGCTTGATTCAAGCAATAATGTTTTCAGAATTTATGTTGTAAGAAATGTATGTAGACTGCAAGGAGAAATGATTTTGAAATCTTGGGAATGAAAGGATTTAAGGTGAAATTTGGAGTCCTGGAAAAAAAAATCTTGAGTCCTGGAAAAGTCCTGCAAATTCCCTGAAATTTGTTCCTGATAAAGGGTATGAAACCCTCAAACTCAAAAGTAATGCAGCTTTAAAATTGATTATTTTATTTGGAATAAAACATTATGAAACCCCTTTTTATTAAAATTATTTCATAGTACATTACAAATCATCATCATAGATAAAGGGAGCAAAATTCAACTTAGCTGAATTAAAAATCGGCACTAAAGATGATAAGTGTTCCACTGTAAACAAGCAAATTTTCACCTAGACGCATTTTCTAATCCTCTAGGTACATGTACTTGGGGAGTTCAAATTCAATTGAGTAAAATCAATTTTATTTCATAGCTTTCTTGGTTGTTCTGTTAGTGTAGCCCAAAATAAAATTAGGAAATAAGTTATGGCTCTAACATTACAGAAGAAATCTATACTTTCAATTTTTGAAACCTTTTGTTATGTTTCAGGAGTAATATTGATTTAAGTTATGTTACTTTTGCAGGTGGAAAGCTGGGATGATCAAATGGAAAGTGGCACATTCCCTGGGCGTATTTGATTTGTTTTTCATGTTATTGTTATTTCCTTATTGTGTCTTCTTGGAGGTGAATGTTTATTAATCTTAATAAAAAGCTGGATAAAGTTTTCACGGATGGTTTCGTTTGCTGTTTGGTAATTTGAGGAAAGGATTTATTTTTTCTTTGTAAAAGATGGCTGTTAAACAATGTACTTTAAAAACAATTGTGTATTTGGAATAAACGAACTATTGATCTTTAAAATTTTTGTTTTGTTTGTTTGTTTTTTTCATTTAATCGAGATATTATTTTACATTTTCGTTGTCGCAAGTTTTCAGAGCCGTGAATCTGAAGTCTGTGGGTTGGATTACGAGCATTCTCTCCCTTTCGGGCGAAGTTCGTCGCGCGAACTCAAGTGGAAAAAAAAGGATGTTAATACGCCGCGCGGAACTATGGTGAGGTGCACGAAAAGTAGGCTTGCATCTCTTCCAGAGTTCTTGCTCAGCGCGCTGACGATAATTTTTTTCGTTTTTCTTTTTGACTTGCGCAACAGATTTCGCCGAAAAAAGGGACTGCATTCAAAGAATCTTTGTGTTGTCTAGCGCTCATAAAATGAAAGAGTAAAGCACTCTTTTAGTCAATTAGTAGGTGACAAGCTTAAGTAGAATGTTTTAACAAAAGCAATAATCTTTTCAGGATTACTGTACAATTTTTAATGGAAACTGCGATCCACATGAGTAATTCTTGAACAACACAGTGGAAATAAGCCATTCGGTTAAAAAAAACGTGACTTGATTGACTCGGATTTTTTTTCTTGAGAGGACATCACTGAATAGTTAACATCGATTTTAATTTTTGTTGATCATTCGCAGTTCTTTCAAGGACTATTTTTTTCAAATCAGTTCTAGCTCTCCTGTATGTGTCCTAATCCAACTGCTATGTGCGTAGTTATCCGACGAGGGAGCGTCGGTCTCGTCTGTTCACTTCCTCTCGGCATAAGTGAGCCCCTCCTGTCGAAAGGGCTGAGTGATGTCGTCCCCCTTGTATTGTTTGCAGATAGCGTCGTTCTTCGCGACGTTAGAAGTCCTGGAGCCTCCAGAAAGTTTTTACCTCCCCCTATCGACATCGATGATGGAGCAATAGAACCTCTCTTTCCCATTCCCATACCGGATCCGTTGGGCATCATCGACCCTCTTCGACCGGCGACACTGCTCCCACGACGACCCATGTCAGGGGCTCCGGGAAAAGCCGAAGATCTCCGACGACCTGATCCGCGTGGTCGGAGGACATCTAAAAAATTCGACTCTAAATCGTCATCCGCTACGGATGAAGTGTTGTCTCTGAGATGAGCCAGTGGATCTGGCCAGTATCCACTCGGAGGTAGAAGTATCGGGTCGAAACTCTGCCTGTAGGACTCAGAGTGTTGAATACCATACAAGCTTAGAAGCCGACACATTTCTGATTTTGCCGTAATGGCAGCCGCTCCAATTTTAGTCTTTTCAAAGAGTTCACTTTTTCTTCTAGTTAAAGATACAGTTGTGGTGGAACTCCTTGGGGAAACGGATCCCTCTTTTTTATTTTCTGCCATCAGTGGTGTACTTCGGCCCTGCCGTGACGAAGGAAGCGTGTCCGTTGGCCCTTTCATCTTTTTATCCGACACTGAGCCTCGTCTTTGTTGTGGCGAAGGTGCTGCTTGTTCATTAGCGTTACCGCTCTCATTAGCAAGGTTTCTCTGAGTGTTCTTATTTTCCAAATCTGAGGCCGATGAGATCTGATCGTCGAGCTCCGGATCGTTCTCAACGTTCTGTACCGCAAGTTGCGGCGAGGGGCTTCTTCGTGCAATCAGTTCCGATAAGTTCGTCAAAGAACGCTTTTCAGCCCATTCTTTGGTGTTTAGAAACGTTTCAGGATCTCTAATTGTTAGAGAAGCTTTACCTTCGGTCATCAGCACTTGTGCGCATTCATCATGCCCACGTTTAGTGGCCTCCAATATCGGTGTCATTCCCTGCGCGTTCTTTTTATCGATATCCAGTCCAAATCGTTTTAACGCTGTCACAAGTCTTTTGACGGTATTCACTTGACCACTCGCTGCGGCGTAGAACAATGCTGTGTTGCCGTACTTGTCTCCTCCGTTCAAATCCAGATCTAAAATTGAAACATCGAGGATCTTTCTGACCACGTTTTCCTGTCCGCGAATACAAGCCCACATCAACGCCGTTCTTCCTTCTCTGTCTACAACGTTGACGCGCGCTTTGTGGTCGAGTAGAATCTTCACGATTTTGTAACGCGTGCGGTGCATTGTGTCGGGAAGAAAAATTGCTTTCATCAGCGCAGTTTGACGATTTTCATCCACTTTGTTCACGTCCTCAGTAAATGATTCAAGTAAGAATTTGACTTGGTACAGCCTGCCTCTTGAAACTGCTTCCAGCAACATGGTGAGGTTACGTTTGATTTCTTGTCGTGCTGTATTGCAGCGCTATAGAAACCGTTAGCAAAACAAGCAAATACAATTCATATTTGCTCAATTTGTTTTCAACGAAGGGGTTAATCGGACATACTCCATAGAGACTTACTTCCTTTGTATTAAATCTTTAGAGAATGAATTAAAATTCGCTTTCGCGTCATGGTCAACCATGGTGACAATAGAGTCTGAAAGTAATGTTAGCTTGTCCAATATTTTCATAGCGAATTAGCATTGAAGACACTAATTCACCTTTATGTAAGACAAAAGCCTATTGTGTGATTTGCACTCACTTCTTTAATGCTCATAACAATGAACTGCGTGAATTTAGTACCTAAAGGGGATAACAAGATAAAAATAAGTGAAAATACAAATAACTATCGTGTCATGGAAATTAAGCAAATTTCCTTTTTTCTCGAAAGTAGGAACAGGTTGACCAGAGGAAAGACAATTTATACAGGGCGTGTGTTGAATGAGAGTTGTTCGAATTATAGTTAGAATTTCATCTGAAAGTGTTTGAACTGAATAAACTCTGTGAGCAATATCTTATGACGTAATGTTTGTGATAGTCAATTGCAGCTCGAGATTAATTACAGTTCACTGTTTTTAGAGGTATTTCCGCAAGCCCTCGAACCATAGAGAAAATTTTTCCCTGGTATTCTTTTTGTCTTGTATAATCCTATAAGGCGAACAGGGACAAACTCTGTGATGAGCCCCCCTCGTATAAGTGTGTTAAATCCCAGCTAAGACATCCAAACCAGGGTCTGCAAACTCTTGTAATGCCAAAATGTAGGTCAATCGCATTTTTTTCCTCTAAACTGTCGCTCAGCTTGATGAATAACGTATACGGTGAGCAGGCACATTAAATAAGAAGATAACCATCAATAATTTCGTAATTGATAGATGAAATGGCTATCTTTATAAGAGGCGAGGAAGAAGATTTTATCATTCTTTTTTTTCACTGCATCATTGGTTTTTTTAGAGAGGCTTCCGACCATCAATATAAGTGAAACTAAGCAATATTCCTTGCGCATGCTCACATCTTAGTAGATAAGATGCCTTCAGTCACGTCAAACTTTTCCCGCGACACCCTGAGATCCAGGCAGCCACTGTTAAGACAATCTTACCAAACGAGGTAACCATGACAACAAGGTGAGATAATAGGTTAACTGACACTCAGACAAAACGGACAAATGAAATAACTTGTACTGGAATGATACCTGTAAAACAAAATAATACCTAAGTGTTACCCTTGAGCCACAGCCAAACGTCCGAAAAGAAACAAAGTAGATAAAAGCACTTAATATTTTCCTCTAATTCACCGGTATTCGTACTGAATTTTGGATTCAGTAAAACTATTAAAAATATTTAAAAAGTATTTGCTCTGATTTTGAAGAGATGAATCAATTTTAAAACGGAGGCTATTGGTCGTTCTTAATTGTGTTAACAAGTGAAACTTAGTTGAAGCTAACGGCTGAGACATCCACTTATTGAAAAATGTTCCATAGAAGATATGTACTTATTTCAGTACATATGTAACTATTACAATAACGTTATTTCTCCGGCTTTCAATTTCTCCCGTGCGCCTGTGAATTTTCTTTTGTTGTGCTGGAGACAGAGATGATAGATAACGCCTAAAGTAAAAATAACAGGAATCAATATAATGTATTCACCTTAGTGTCAGAGGTTAGCGGTGGATATTAAACTCGCCGCGAAGTTTAACATATACTAAAACAATGAGATAATACTACACAAAAAGATGATTTTAACTCAGTTATTCCTGCAAAGATTACAATAAATTCGAGCGCAGATCCCGTGCGCATTGCCAGAAGGTGATATCAAAGGATATTCTGAGTTTGAGCAGCCATACAGAGCGCGCTTTTAGCACTATCCTCTGTAAGATATGGACGAGATATAGTTGGACCGTTTGATAAATTCTTGCTTGACTAACGCTTTTTCAGTCAAAGTGGATAGACATTGGCCTCGTAATTAATCTGAGTAATATCGGGTTAATAATATGCAAAAAAATTGTAACGTTTTTAATAACGTAGACACATGACAAGTAACCTCTCATTCCTTACACTAAATCTGAATTTTGTCCATTCATACCTGAACATCTCAGTAAGCCTATCTTGTTAAAAAGTAGTTTTTGAGAAAAGTTGCCAAAAAGGAAAGAAAACAGAAGAAAAGCTGATAAAAAAATTCCAATAAAAAAAATCATTTTTTTTTGTGCGGCGGGGTAGAAGGATTTTGGTTATGTTGGTTTTCTGTGTTTTGGTTATAATCTCGATTACCTACCATAACGCCCTGTAGTATTCTAATAAATTACCAGACAATTTTCTGTTGCCCCCTCCCCCTCCCACCCGCTTTATACTCTGTTAGCGATCCGTTCCCCCTGAAAATCACGTGGTCCCAAAAAAAAATCCTCCGACCCCTATCCCTCCCCAAACAATCGTTAAATAATGAATGATCCCTAAGTGTTTTGTTCGATCGGATCAGAACCTCCCGAGAGAAAAAGATAGGCTCAGCCAAGAAATTGTAATCTTTTGGCTCAGTACAGTCTGAACCGAATTTTTATGCGTTCGTGTTATCCTACACGTTTACGTGAGCGAGTTCTGCTTCAAAAGGCTCTATTTGGAGGAGACTACTTGACCCATGAAGAGTGTACGAAGCTGTGTAACTCAATCACGAAACAGCGTTAAAATTTTCTTAAGTGCCTCCTTGGCATATAGGTAAAACTGAGTTTGATTTGTACATTGTGAAGCAGTGTTTGCGCGAAAAAAAGACTATGTATGCCTTAAAACTAACAAGGAATACTTCGTATCGGTTTTTTTGGTGCGTGTGAAAAGTTTGTGAACAGAGAATAACAACTTACTGGTTGTAGAGGTTGCTAACAAAGTGCTAAGTTTCTTGTCCTCGCTGTAAAGTGGTTCATTAATTTACACCTCGCATTTTTGATAAATGTCAATAAAATTTCGTTTTTCATAACGAATGTGTAGACATGCAAATGACGAGAGGCAGTAACAAAATAATTTGTCTTCTGCTGGGCGGTTTTTTAGTTGGAGACAAACCTCCAAATAACAATTCTAGAACATGAAAAGTTTTTTATCCAAAGTACGGTCACATTCAGTTATTAAAAGTAGGTGTTTATTAGTCTTTCAGTACGTGACCCTGAATCGTGTGAGCATTAACTTTCTGTCCAATCGGTAAATCAGAAGGTCAGTCAAGCCTGACCTACCGTGTAATAAATCCCATTGGCGTTAATGTCACAACAAAGGGCTTTGAGACAATAGAAGAAGGTATTATTTGGTGAATTTTAATGAAAGGTGAGTTGAACGAGCAATTACAAGGCTATGAAACTCTACAACAATTAACAAACATACCTCTTACACAGTTTGTCAACTTGAACTAAGAAGTTGAGTTTTTTTCGAGCGGGCGAACAACAGAAATAGCGGGCTTGTCTCAATAGGCCGGAGAAAGCGTAAGTTATGACATCACCTTCGTCGTCGGTTGGTCACCAAAGGCAACCATTTCCCGATCTTAAACAAAAGGTTGCGTGGATAGACACTGAATTCGACAAGAACAACTGTGCAAGGCCTCCTGTTGTCAGTGGAAGGCCAAGGATACTTTTAGAAGCCGTCAGTCAAGGGAGACTTCGTCAAATTCGCTTGTTGTTAGACGCGGGTGTCAACGTAAACTGCAAAGATTTGGAGAACGGACAAACTGCTCTAATTAGAGCAATGTTCTTAGAAAACAGTAAGCTTCGCCGCAGGACTGCTAAAATGCTACTGAATTACGGCGCCAAGATTAAATTACTGGACAAGTTTAGCCGTTCAGCCTTGTCATGGGCTTGTCTTATGGGAAGAGAAGACATGGTCAAGCTGTTTTTTAGTTATCCCGAAGTTGACCTTGCGTTGGGCAGCGTAGACACTGAAGGAAACACGAATCTAATATTAGCAAGCATGTCCGGCAATATAAATATTATTAAAATGATATCCAAAGTTTTCAGAAGGAACAGGCTGGATGTAAATAAAGTGAACGAGCGTGGAAAAAGCGCTTTGACAGTAGCACACGAAAACGAGTTTACGGATTGTGCCGAAGTGCTTTTGAACGAAGGGCATGCAACACCATATAGCTATCAAATAAATCTTCCACGGGACGCATTTAGCGCTACGATAACACAAAAAGGGATGAAACCGCAAACGGGACAGCGACAAAACTCCTGTAATCTTCCCAGGTTATTTGGTTTATATACGGAACAGCTTACAAATTCATATCCTCGAAAATGCAAGTCTGGGGGTGGCGTGAAATTCTCGGCCTATTAATTAAAAATAAATTATGATCTATTTAGATAACAAGATTAACTAATGGAGGTTTGAGTGCTTA